GATGATGATGGCCAGCACGGTGGCAAGTTTGCAGCCGGAAGGGAAAGAGTAGGCGAACGTATCCGACAAAGCAGTGTTTGATTAGACACTGATGGCAAAGAAATTGCAAAATTAGGGGGGTAATTGATTGTATAAACGACTTCCTAATCATCCCTACAACGACAATGATGACCGATAATGACAATCACGATGSTGACAGTGCTGCAGGTCCTTCAACAGGGCTGGATCTAGACTGAAGTTTGCCCCAATTGAACGGACTGTCATTATCGCTGTATCTCGATTGAAGTTTGCCCCAAGCACAGCAATAATGACTGTGTGTTCTATTCAGACGAAATGGTAGCAATAGAGCGGACAGCGCTGAAGCCATAACAACAATGCAATTGTCTGACCTGGAGGGACGGACCGATAAAGTTGAGCTGCCTTGTCAGGGGGGGGAAGGGGGAAGGTCCTCAATCCTGGGCAAATGAGGGCTGTGTCGCAGCGGATTAGCAAGACATCGGGACAGGAAAAAGGAGCACGGGAAGGAAGCGGGGAAGAGGAAGGAGGAAGAAAGAGGAGGGGATCATGAGGAGGGGCAACTGGGCGGATTTGGGGCGAAAAGGTGGGAAATCGATACGTGGCAACAGAAAGAAGAATCACAAAGAAGAAGAAGAGGAAAGAGAGAGAGAAGCGGGGGGAGGGAGAGAGAGAGAGAGGGGGAGAGACAGAGAGAGAGAGAGAGAGAGAGAGACAGACAGACAGACAAACATACAGACAGAGAGAGAGAGAGAGAGAGAGAGAGAGAGAGAGAGAGAGAGAGAGAGAGAGAGAGAGAGAGAGAGAGAGTGAATCTCTGGTACAGAAGACATTCAGATGCAACTCCATCTAAAAGAAGTAACCATGGCCACCACCAAAAACTAATACAACGGCCATGGTTATGAGATAGCCCACCCTTTTTACACTATCGTCTTCACCGAATAGACCGCCCTGTGCTTACCGTTCTATCAAGACTAAAAGTTGACCCTAATACATCTACCAGCCCGGGCGTTCTATTCGGGTGCAGACGGTAAGCTGGTCCGTTGGATTGACAGTCCGACAACTATAGTTTTTTTTTCTTTTTTCCCGCTCTGTCAGCAGAGATCGGAGGCAATGGGATCAGATTCGATGGGAGCGGATCAGATGGGATCAGATAAGATATCAGACAGGATAGGATGCAATCGGATGGGGTAGAATGTGATGGGACGGGATCGGATGGAATGGGAGAGATGGGATTAGGACATTAGGACGTTAGGACAGTATGGGACTCTCTTACATATTATGCTGTCATTAGGACAATGTGGAACAGTAGGGGACACAATGTGGGAAAGTGTGGGGAAGAGTGTGGATGACAGCGGGGCATAAAGTATGAAACAAAGTGTGTGGCAGTGTCGAGCAGTGCGGAGCAGTACGGGATACAATGGGACAATGTCGGACAGTGTGGGACACCACGGAAAGCAGTGTGGGACAGTGTGGGACATTTCTGGAGTCCGACAGGTACCATAAGAACGTCGGTGAAACCCAAAAAAAAAATAAAAAAAGTTTGATTGATTCATTGATTCATTGATTGATTGGTCGATGGACTGATTGATTGATTGATTGATGGGGAGGGACGCCCCCCCACCCTGACCACACCCACACCCACACCCACACCCACACCCACGTGTAGTAGTGTATATTTCCGTGTTCTAGCGAAAGATTCATTCGATTTTGCTCATCCTATCGATGGAAGTAGCGTGA